TCACTTAACTGCATGGGACCAGTCTGTTGACTTATCTTTGGTGACTACCATGTAAATATATTTAGAATATGTATCCTAGGCAGACAAAGCTAGGGTGTATGAGTTGTATGTGTGTAAAGAGCTGTCAAATCACAGCCAACTTATGGTGATCCTGTAGGGTTTTAAAGGCTAGAGACATTCAGAGGTGGTTTGCCATTGCCTGCCTCTGTGTAGCAACCCTGGACTTCCTTCACAGTCCCTCAGCCAAGCACTAACAAGGGCCTACCCTGCTTAGCTTCCAAGATCTGCCATGATTGGACTAGTCTGGGCCATCCAGGTCAGGGTTTGTAAGAGTTACCTAACCAGTAGGACAATATCTTTTTCTTGTAAGAGTTACCTTCCTAAAATTTAATTAAATGTTAATTTAGAAAGTGATACTGACAGTATTAGTATGGCTGACCATGGTTTGAATGAGGAAGCATTCTGACTATTGAAAGTTAAATAGTTCTGAATTTCTTTATTTACCTCACCTATATTTATATACCAATAAGACATATTAAATGTGTGCTTGCCTTTTCAGACATAACATTTGTGGGTATCCAACCACTCACACTGGGGGTGTTCAAGTCGACTGTTTTTTTCACTGCACCCAGTCTGAAATAGGCACTGTGCATATATTCTGCATCCATACACAGTTCAGTACATCGAAGCAGAAAAATGCACAGATGAAGTGGGGCAAACATGGAAGATCACAGTCATGATGAGGAGGCATAGTGAGTTGTTGATGCCCTTTTCGTGAACTATCACACGCTACAGTTGCTGATTCTGGTTTGGGGGGTGCAGCCTGGGGAGGACAGGGTTTGGGGAAACCTCATTGGGTGTAATGCCACAGAGTCCACCCTCCAAGCCAGTTTCTGTAGTCTTAGGGTTGCCAGCCCTGGGTTGGGAAATACCTGGAGACATTAGGGGTAGATCTGGGAGAGACTGGGGTTTGGGGAGGGGAGGGTCCTCAGCATGCCATAGAGTTCACGCTTCAAAGCAACCATTTTCTCCAGGTGAGCTGATCTCTGTCAGCTGTAGTCTGGAGATCAATTGTAATTTCAAGAGATCTCCAGGCCCACCTGAGAGTTGGTAACCCTACCATGCACACAGGCTGAGACCCGGTGTATATATATGGGCTCAACTGTTGTCTTCTCCCTCCGATGTGCTGCCTGTTTGCCATCGTGCCTGTGGATTTTAGTGGCACCTGGAACTTTGTTTCTAGCGATAATTTTGAAGGCTATATGTGGGGCTTAGGTATTTATTTTGCAATGCGAAAGATAGCGAAATTGCTGAAGCCCAAGAAGGTTATTGAACAAGATGGGGACTCCTCCTCTATCCACACGACAAGCACTTTCCAGAACTACTTTGTCCAGTTCAAAATTGGGGAGGAGTTTGAGGAAGACAACAAAGGCCTTGACAACTGGAGATGGAAAAGTGTAGTTACCTGGGACGGTGACAAGCTGGTTTGTGTCCAGAAGGGAGAGAAGAAAAACAGAGGCTGGAGTCATTGGATTGAAGGAGATGGACTCTATTTGGAACTTCGGTGTGAAGACCAAGTAAGCCGGCAGGTTTTCAAGAAAGAATGAAGCATATCCCAGAGGCCACAACATGGCAGGCAACTATACAACTCTGTAGAAGAGTTAATGAATAGGCTTCGAATTCAGATGGCAGCTTTACAAGTCAAATGTTTT